GGCTGCTTAGCGAGAGGCTGCCGTCAGATGCGACGGGCTCCAGGGCTCGCCGGGGTCGGCCATCGGGGCGCCCGGGACGCCCCTGGCCGCGCCCAGGTCCCCTGTGAGCTCGACGCTCGTGCTCCGGTTATTCTCCCGCTCCTCCGGCGCCTTCTTGCGGAAGCAGCGGCGGATCAGGACGGAGAAGAAGTTGGGGAAGGACGGGCTGGAGAAGTAATACACCAGCGGGTCCAGCATGCTGTTCATGTAGGTGAAGCTGAGGGTGACGAAGAAGGCCAGGTCCACCGAGCGGTAGATGTCGCAGTTCCCCGTCCCCTCCGCGTGCAGGAGCCAGAAGATGCGGATGCGCACGGCCACGCTGGGCAGGAAGCAGACGACGAAGACCACGGCCACCACCGTGATGAAGGCGATGGCCCTCTTGATCTTGGCGTGCCGGTCCATCTGCCGGCGCCGCAGGCTCCAGACGACGCGCGTGGAGCAGAACCCGATGATGCCCAGCGGCAGGAAGAACTCCAGGAGGAACATGGCGTCGTGCCACTGGAAGGCGTGGCAGGTGCTGAAGCTGCTGCACAGGTTGGCGTCCCCGTTGGGGACCAGCATCTTCTTGTACAGCAGGTGGGCGGTCAGGCCGATGGTCACGGCCCACAGGAGGCAGGAGACCGCGGCGGCCGTGCGGTTGGAGATCTTGTTGAGGGCGTGGTGGGGGTGGACCACCCGGAAGTACCTGTCCACGGCCACCACGGTGAGGAAGATGATGCTGCCCTGGCGGTTCATGGCCAGCATGAAGAGCATCAGCCGGCAGGCCACGTCCCCGAACTTCCAGTCCCACGCCCTCATGTAGTTGTCCATGAGGAACGGCAGGCAGATGATCAGGAGGAAGTCGGCCACGGCCAGGTTGAACAGAAAAACCCGGCTGGATTTCCAGGACTTGAGGTGGAAGCAGAAGATCCACAGGGCCAGGCCGTTGCCCACGAGCCCGAACACGAACTCCAGCCCCAGCACCGGCGGGAGGACGTTGGCGATGAAGTCATCCCGGAACACGCAGCAGCTCTTGTTGTGGATCTCCAGGTTGTGGGCCCGCGACGGGCGGGGC